ATTTGTCTTTTTTTTAAAAAAAAAAAAAAAAAAAGATTTAAAAAAAGTTAGGATAGGTTGAGGTTTTTTGTGAGTGTGTGTGCAAGCATAAGAGAGATGAAGTCTGCACAAATTTTATTGCTTTCCGACGTGTATAAAACAAATGCCATGCTTTTATTTTGTTCAACACAATTTTGTACTTAATTGAGCATGTGTGCTAAAGTGTGTGTGCATGAACGGACAGAAGTAGTTTGTGTTTGTGCTTTTTTTTTGTACATAGGCTCTTAAAGAGACCGATAGGACAGTCAAGCATTGCGTTTTTACCCTCCAGTGTTTCAAAGCATGAATGAGGTGCTGTTTGGCCCGTTTGGCTCTGTTCTAAGAGGGCAATCGGGGTCTCTGGGTTTGTGTTTGATGTATAAATGTAGCTCCGCTGTTGTCTGTACACAAACTACTTACATTACAACTCTTCCCCTTTCGTTCATTCTCCGTCCACGATGTGAAATGTTGCCTTCTGTCCAGAAAGTAAGTGTGTGTGTGGGTGTGGGTGTGTGGATTCTGTTGGCTGGTGTTTTGAGACAGTCACAAGGGCACTGTGATTCTGTATGTCGGTTGTGTTACTTTCTTTTTTTTGTTGCTGTTGGAAAAGGATGAATGATTTATTTTTTTATTGTTCTATACGAAGTATTTGAAATTTGAGTTGGAGCACTTTCTAGGCTGCTACCTTGTATTTTTTGAATAATGTTTTTTTATTTGTTAGGGTTTTTTTATTTTATTTGCCTCTTGAGGACATTGTATTATGAATGAATGTATTCCAAAACAAACTATGTATAACAGTACATCTAACAACAAGGCTTGAGTGTCCCGGAGTGAAATGGGACACGCCTAACCATTCGGAATATGCCTATTGTCAGAGGTCAGATTCTGGGATTCTGCATGGCTTGTACCAAGCTGACGGTCTCTGGCTGCTAGTGCTCTTCCAGAACTTTTTCACAGCACCCGGAGATTCCGTTTGTCTCCCAACATCTTGATGGAACTGTTGTTTTGCCGTCTTGTTACTTGCGCTCTTGACACAGGGCCATTGAGAGCCAAGGATCTGCAGTGTGTAGCAGTAATTTGTTTTAAGATCTATTCCCCCTCCAATACATGACTTTTGGGATTGAAATATGTGATGTTTTGCATCATAAATGTTTATTCACCTGAATCCTCTGAATAGGAAGAGACTGAGGATCAGAACAGAGGAGATTTCGGTACTTGATCTGTAGAAAAGAAAACAAATCCTGCTTTAAGCGTATTTCACTCTATTCTGACTGGATTATATTTTTGTAAAAAAAAAAAAAAAATTAAAAATTAAAGACAATGACTGAAAACAAGCATGGAGAAGTGGATGTCAGCACTAATTCAAACGCCATCCTGGAGTCTGAAAAGGAGTGGCAACCAGCTGCATTTAGTGCTACACACAGAGAGTGAGACTGAGGGAATATGTGCGGATCCATTTCATCCTCGCACCAAAGGGATGGATTTTTCTGCATCCTTTGAGCTGCGGTTCCCACTGCTCTGCAACACTATCAAATGAAGGAAAATCCTACAGCATTTGGAAAAAAAGTGGTCATTTTGAATGTTTGATTAAAAAAAAAAACCTTTATGCCTTAGAAGATTACTGTGTGGAGAAAGTGCAGATTCTCACGTCTATCAATCATATTTCTTCAAAAACTTCCTTCCCTGCTAAGGGTTGAGGAGTCTAGATGTGATGAATGTTTGGAGAGGAGACAAACTGATGCAAGCTCTCCTCGTTTCTTCGCGCACTTCACTTGAACTAAATCTCAAGGACACAGACTTGTCATGATTGCCTGTCAATACAATGAAAAAATGAGAGTATTACAGCAATTGGTGACACTATGGAGTTCATGGATGCTTGTGAAACAGCTGAGCTGCAGTGAACCAGGTGAGATGTGACAAGCCGAGGTTGAAAATTGTAATTTTACTCCCATTGTGGTTGTTTTAATCCTGGTTGGGTTTTGTTTTTCCAGGATGGACGTAACCTAGATCTCTCTGCTGGGACCATCACACCCACCAGTACGCGTCTTCTGATTTCGTCGAACTGGATTAAGCAAGAGACCACAACTCTTTTCTTTCTTTCTCTCTGCATCTCTCTTTTGTCCTGACAGCATAGAATGGGACCCACAGACAGACTAGGTGTGTGCATGCATGTGGAGAGACTGTGTGTGTCTGTACAAAGACACTCGTACATTCTTCCATCTCGCTCGTGGGCGAGGTGGGGACTGGATGCCCTGTACATAATGTAAATTATTTTGGTCCCAGTTTGTTGAGTTCTGTCCATCGTAGGCCATCATTTTGGGTGTTTCACATGCCTTAATTGTACAAAATAGAACTGCCCTGGTCAACATTAATGTAACACTCATTAGAAAAAAACAGCACAGGCTATATCTACACCATTCAGTCATCGAAAGGAATCTGAGCCTGGCTGAGGATGTTTTCCCCTACCTTGACTTTACTCATCATACAAGACTGTGGGATGTTTCCACAGTGTTTTCTATGTATTGTTGGTATGTTGATGTTCAAGTGAATAACTGCAATTATTGACATGTACAGATAAAGGTTAATGAACATTGGTATATGCGGAAATCTAGTAGTTTGCCTTCTATCAGTTTGGCATTTAATTTTTTGTTTGTTTTAAATGATTAAATGGGTACGTACAGAACATGGTGGTTAGTTTTGCTTTGAGAAGATCAAAATATGTTATACAAAAAATTAAACGCTGAACTTGTTTTCTGTCATTACAATTATTGTTGGCGTTGTTTAGTCTTAAATGCGGTCAGATTTGACTCCTGCTTTGCGGCTGTTTTCCACTATGAGGCAGTACAATCACACTGCTTCAGAACCTCAGAGCGAGTACAGTAAGTGACATTACAAAAGATTCGGTGATAATCGGTGCTTGATATTCAGTCATTTTTCAGTCACAGCGTTTTGAACAAATTCTAGATTAATCTCAAGTCCTACACAGCATAAATTTAATTCCACCATTTGATTCCCCAAGGAACCCGGCATCATCCTTTTGTAGCCTACTGTTTTTGATTAGATTAGACACGGGGCATAAGGTTTAAGTACACAAACCTTGTCCTGATGTGCCTCGAATAAAGTTGAGGCGCTATTCTTGGAAGTCGACTCGAGCCCTGCCGTCCTCACAGTTTATAACATAGTAGTTATTTTGGTTTGTTGGCCGACAAGCTGCAGTGACAATTAAATTCAACAGTATTGAAAAATACTTCAGAGGGGAGCTTTTCTCAAGACGCATTTCAAACTCTCCTCCCCAACAGAAGTCACCACCAGCAGTTGTTGCCATGTCCTCGTAGTTTTAATAATTAGAACATGACTTTTTCCATGTCCTCTTAATTTTAATAATTAGAAAATGACTTTTTATTACTTAATAGTACATTTTAATGCACTAATTTAAATAATATTTTTAATCTAGATTGTATTTAATATTTGTGTTTCTGTGTTGATCAATGAAATTACGGAGTTATACCTTCCCCATAATTTATAAACAACTACTAAACCTTTAGAAATGAAAAACAGGGCTCTCCTCTTTCGGTTAGACTTGTTGTCTCAGACGAGGTTGCTTGTTTCTCCTGAGATCTGGCAACAATGCTGCCGGCGCGCGAGTCAAAGCGCGAGACTTTGCAGAGATTAGGACAGAGCGAACGGCACGCGTCGTATCCATGGACTACAGGAATATCTCCTTTCTTGTGTCCAATGTTTCTGCGTTTGTTGCAGCAGACTTTTACCGATTACTGCCACTTACCTCCTTTCAATGCCCTAAATGGGTTTTGTCTCTTGTCGGACTGTAATTCATTTGGTAAGTAAGTGCTGGTGGACACACTCGCTGTTGTTTCAGGACTGGGACATCGTATTTACGTAAATATTTTGGATATTAGATGAGCGAAAAGTTCTGGATCTCTCATTTTGGACATTGTCAGAAGTGTGTTCTTCACCAGCGTGAAAGTACTACACAACTTAAACACTTGTCCGCGGAAAGACAAAAATAATTTTTTGTACCGGGTGGATGTTCATTTTCTTAACGGGAGTAAAAATACAACTCCGAGTCGTTGATAGAAATGCTAATGCTGCGGTTGATGGAGAAACATTTCTAAGAAATCGCCTGCAGTGGACCTGGCGCCCCGTATCAGTATGCGTGCGCTTCAACACATTTAACTTCACCCCCATGCACACTAGTAATATTGTTTGAAATTCATCCAAGTCAAATTCATACATTGACCAGATGGCTTTGCCTTCTCAAATTTGACAGAAATTGGGACTTTCACTTGAGGTCATTGACTCCTTTGAATGGAACAAAGGAGGTTGGTGTTTCTGAATCTGCTTTCTTTTACAAACATTCAGAGATTGGTTCTCCGAGTCTTTCAGATGTGGATGTTGCGGTCACACCATCTCCTCAAGCGCAGAGGGATCTAGTGAAGTTCAGCCCTCCACCAGTCTTTTGTCTCTGTTAGGTCCCATTCATTTGTCTTGTAGGAGGAACATGGGAGTCCAGACAAGGGGAGCCTGGGTGGCTATGGCGTTCTCGGACTGGGTCAATGGATTGGGGATTCTCTTAATCTTCCTGATGGAGAGTTTAGCAGTGGATGCGACCAACATGGAGCCAGTCTACTGGAACTCTTTGAACAGAAGGTACGTTGGTGGTTGATATAAAACTCATACACACAGATACAAGTTTTTCAAGTTCAGTCTTCTAAAGACTCGAATGCCTCCAATTACAGGTCTCTATTTAGAATAAATTGTAATATTTGTCAATTTGCATTCAAGCATATAATCCTAGAATTAAACTAGATTGTTGCACCATAGAAAGATGATTCTGATTACATTTTGATTTAGCATTAAAGGATACTTTTAGTCAAGTTAATTGTAAACCGCATACGGGGTCCCGGAAAACCTAAAAATATAATTCAAAGTGTGATTTCTAGAGTCAACATAATTTTTTGTACACTGAAAAAAATAAAATTAGGTGTAGAAACAATTTTCACTCAGAAATTGTAAGTTTCACAATTAATTACAAACTGCAGTTAACACATTGAATTAAACATGACATTTTGAAGTAAAAAGACTGAAATCATATTTTCTTGTAAAATATACTCTAGTATTTTTTTTACAACTTTTAAACTTGAACTTTTTTTTGTAGGCCCTAAGTGTAGGCTAGTTGTGCTCCATGTTCTGAAGTTCTTCTTTGTCTAGATGTTTTTGCAAGTATAATTTCTATAAAATGAGTTTTAAACATCATTATATAGCCATTATCCAGCTTTGAAAAGTAATTGAAAAATCATGGAAATAGGTCAGAAAATGTGGGAACCATGTACATATAAACTTGGCCTCAGTTGGGACAGGGGTGACTTTGGCCTGGGACACAGTCTAGTTAACGGTTTGGACAGACACACTCAAGACAGAGAGACGGGGGCATTTTCCGGCTGGCTGCCTCCCGATTATGGGTCGCGTGCATGCCCTCCCTAGATAAGGTATTCATGCTTCACCCACAGTGACACAATATACAAACCCACACAAAGGTCCTTTGATTTTTGTCTGTGCTGAGGATGCTCTCTGGACAAGAGGAAAGGAGAAGCCACATTAAGACCTTGGGTGAGAGACCGAATCAGGAATTATTTCATCCCTGAGAAGGAGATGAATCAATAAGTGGAAGAAAAAATACTGGTTAGGCAACTAGGCAGTTGGTTTGTTAAAAAACTGCCTCTGAGAACTTCAGAGCTTCACCCTGACAGACGGATGGTAGAGAAATATAATTAGGGAAGACAAATAGATCTGAGGCGGAAAAGATAAACATGGTTGTCTAAAAGAGAGAAGAGCATAAAGATTAGCCAGAGCCAGAGTTTCAACTTATGAAGTAGAGAGAAGGAATTGCGGGGTTTGTGCAGATAAAGTCATATATAAAAAGCAATAGAGAAAGTCATTCATCCATCCATGTGAAATAAATGTCGCTCTGATATCTGAAAAGGTCGGCGTGTTTACTCACACCCCGACAGCCACATCCCTGTCAGGTCATCTCGCTCTCCTTTCACTCTCCTCTCCTTCTCTCTCTCACACACATTTGACACATTTGCCCACAAGACAATTGAACATTTCATCATACACACAGAGATGCCAGAAAATTAATTAATAATATAAAAAATCATCAAGAATCTGCGGCAGCGTGTCAATGTGTCATTTGCTTTCATAATCTGACATATTGATTGCGTGAAACTGAAAGTTCAGTGAGAGTAAAATGGTAGTCTGGGACATGTTTTCCATCAGGAATTGATTGGATCATGACTTACAAAAATGGAAAACATTACCGAATGCATGTTTGTTGAAACAAGACTTTGAAGGTTGACTGGCCACCGGTTAATATAACCTAAAAGACCACAAGTACCCCAATTTGAAAACTCCTGACAATTTGAATTTGACTTCCCCTGAGGGCTGCAGGGGGGTGCTAGAGGGTCTGTGGAAAATATTTTTTTAATTTTTATTTAGTTGTAGGGCTGTTTAAGTGAATGTGTTGACTTAAAATATTAATTAAATATATTTATCACACAAAACAAGTACAATATTTATTTTAAAAAGATTGTTTTAGAAATAATTCTGAAATTAATTTAAAATGCTTGTCTTCAGGTTTATACATTTAACATTACTTGACTAGTGGGTGCAAAAAAAAGATACATTAAGCTTAATACTAATAAAATATTTTACAGATAATATCTTTATAATTTACTTTGGCTTTCATTACAGTAAAGTACAGTAAAATAAAAAAAACAATAGTTTTGCAAAGAGCATTTTTTTCTCAAACAGTATTACTGGGTCTTTGTACATAAAAAAAAATTATAAAGCTGCTTTTATATTTTAAGAGGGGAATGTCATCCTATTTTGGAGGGGTGCGTGGGAGTAGAGGAGTGGATTTCAGCCCCTCAATGAGTGTAATCAATGTTGAGCACAGACTGTCTCTATGCATTGCTCCGGGGGAAGTTGTTGTACAACTCTCTGCCTCAAATTAACATAAAAAATTTAATCCTTCATGGCTCCCTCAATATTTAATAAATCGGCTGCTAATTGGAGACAGATAAAAGCTTTCTAAACTGGGTTAAGCGTTTCAAATTAAAACATTTTAAGGGTAGGAAAAGATACGTTGGAAAACTGACAGGAAGAGCACAGAGCCTACATCAGATCTTCAGACTTTTGACTTCTACTGTTGTCGCAGTAGGTTTTTTTCTGGCAGATCTGATTGATTGGTTCTCCTTTGATGAAAGATCCTGTATAGAGCCTTTCTAGGGACCGAGAGCAGAGCGAGATTAAACATTGTTAGTGAAAAGAATGGATTTAGGATTTGTAAATGTGTTTCACTGTGCAAGTCCCTCCAACATTTCCTAGCCATTTGTGTGTGAGAGAGTGTTTTTTTTTTTTTTAAGAGATAAGACCTCATGGAAAATGTTACATTGTTAAAAGAGAGATTGTAATTGTGGTATTAAATGGACTGAAAATGGAATTGTACCACTTGACCTCAGTTTCCAGGGGTGTGAGAGTGGGAGGGTAGTCCTCTACACAACACCCCTCCATTAGTTCATCATATGGACTGCTCCATCATCAGACGGGCAACAAAGCCATTTGTGAAGGGATTACTACCTCTATACACACTTTATCTCTTGCGCTTTTTCTTTCCAGAGTTAATGTCTTTCTCCCTCTCTGTCACATTCCCTTCACCTATTCATCTAATTCTTTTTTTCTCTCCTCATTCATTACCTCATTCTTTTGTGTCACTGCTCTCTCTCTTTCCCAGAGGATAATTTTATTGCTCAGAGGTTGCTCTTTCATAGCTCATAGTATCAACTTTATCTCTGAGATTTCTTCTAATGTCTTTGGGGAAATACAAATGAGATAATTATTGACGTACAGTAAGGAGATTAGTCAGATACTTTGAAATGTTTGAGTTCTGAAACTTCCAGACTTGTGTGTAGGCAAATCTGACAGTGTGGTCTCATTAATAATCATAGGTAGTTGCAGGTAAAGTGCAGTTCTAGCACATTTTCATAGACCCTGACATGTATATTATTAACATATTGACAACATGTAAACCCAAAGCATTTTACGTTTGAATAGCTTTAGAGACATGCAAATGTTAATGAAATCTTTAGATTTATCACATATTGAATTTAGTTGAATTTGTACATTGATTTTTAAATGGTTAAATGTGTGCAGTCTCACATGCATTTAATGTATTACTTACTTTGTTTGACATTTATAATGGTTTCACGCTGTTCTTTGTGCCATTTTCAACTCCAATCAAAGGATAAATCCTTGCCTTGTCTTGCCTAAATTATCATCATTGAATAATTTAAATTGGATTTAGTTTGTCAAGGGAAAAATGTCTAATAGTGAAAATGTAACTATAACTAATAATAGTAAAATGTAACTATACAAATATATTGATCAAATAAATCTAATTTAATGTGTTTATAAAGATTTTACATTTCTAAAGTTGTGCATATGCAAATTGTACATTTCAGTGCATATCAAAACAAAAATCTATAAATGTTATGTATAAATCCTTACTATTATGTTGATATGTAATCGGGCTGAATAACATATTCAGACTATGTTGAGATGTTTTGTGAAACTCTGTAGACACATGACATTAATTAGATCATTTTTTTCAGGAGAAACATTTGAAACACAAGAAGTTTAAGCAGAATTCTCCATTTACTTTTTGTAAACATTTTATTTTTCATTTATATTTTGAAATTTCATTTTTAATTTCTTTCCTATGGTTCTTGTGTTCCCAGAAAGGTATTTAATTTATACCAGCAACCCTTGAAACTTCATAGTTTGACTTCAATTCAATTTCGATGTTATTTAGTTGGACCTGCCATCTTCGTGATGAAAACCTCCTTCTCTTGTTTCACTTGTATTTAATTTTCGATTTCAGAGGTGCGTCTGTGGCATGCCTTCAAAGCCCTGGCATGATACTATGCTGTGTGTGGAAAGAGTAATTACAGTTTTAAGATTACTCCGATGATGGTTCTGAACCGAGGGGGGAGGAGGTGGCATTACAGTGAATGACCGAGACAAGCACCCCTTGTAAAACACAAGGTTTATGATGATGACAGTGATTGTTTCTTTAGCTGTTGTTCGCTTTCGCTGCATGTCATCTATGGATTGAGGCTATACAGGATTAGGGTTTTGATGTCATCCAATTTATTGGAAAAACTCCTGTTCTCCTCCTTCTTTGCCTCTCTTTTTCTTCCTTAGCCGTCTGTTGTTTCCCATCCTCATGAAGGTTGGACGAGCATTTGTTTCTGAGGGAAAAATGTAGGTAAATGGCAGGCCTTATATGTGAATCATGAACAATAGATTGTCAAGAAACACAATGAAGAAAAGTAAACAGACAGCGATGAGAACATGCATTTGTTTTTATAGACTAGATGAATCGGTTATCCTGTTTTTAACTCGCTGATGTCTCATTAATAGGCCCGGATGCAATCTGCGGACTTCCTCCATAGAATTCTGTGGAATGGATATAAATGCTGTAAAATGTGTCGAACGGTGGACCCACACACTTCCAGTCTGCCACTGCAAAGATTTGCGTATACTAAACAGGCCGCCGAACATTTTATCCACAAACTTTAAAAAGAATC